ACATATTATCACCAATTAGAAACCTTTGAAGAAAAAATGATGGCGTGAGCCACAGCTAGCATCCCGCTGTCTACACCCAAAATGTCTGATGGTGTGAGCCACAGCTAGCATCTAGCTGTCTACGCCGTGACGCATTTGAGGGATTTTAACATCGGCCTTTCAAAAAAGGTTTGCAGCACAATTAAAACTACAACGGCCATGGCGGTTTAGCGTAAAGCAATCCCGCTGGCTAGCATTAGCAGAAGCACGTTTGCCTCCAGAAGTGCACCAGCTGGCCTTTACTTTGGGTAATTTCAATCTGAGTCATCAGGCCGCTCCAACTGCAGGTTTGCAGTTGTAAATCAAAGTCAAAGTGTCAGTGTGAGAAAGGCTCAGTAATATAAAGGAGTTATATAGATGGAAATTGCCGGCACTCAGCCCCTTCCTCTTCAATTGACAATAATTGTATGGCCATAAAAATGGTACACTCATTTATAATGGCTATTAAAAAGCAACTCTTTTTAATGAGCATTAGAGCAGTCTCTCTCTCTCTCTCTCTCTCTCTCTCTCTCCTGCTTTCTCCCTTTCTCTCTCTCTCTCTCTCTCTCTCTCTCTCTCTCTCTCTCTCTCTCTCTCGCTAATCATATCCCTCGGCTCAGAGTGGTCACTCTTAAGATTTCACTAAAGAGTGGAGCCAAGTGACTTTACCCCATTTGCCCATGCTGGCTCACACAAGACACTGTAATGGCTTTTAGCCCAGAGGAAGTCTTGGCTATGGCTGTGATGATGAATCGATTACTCAGTTATACAACGCAGATAGCATTTATCAGCCACTGTATTGATAATCATGTTAATTTTAAGATGGTTTGCTCTCAAATATATTCATTTCTGCCCGAAGATTTGAAGGGAAACGTCATTCAATTTGATCATGGCTTATTAACAAAATCGTTAAATGTTACTTGCAGACAGTAGCATGTTGCCATGAGGGATGCATCAGGTACAATGTAGCTAAAAAAGAAAAAAAAAAAAACAGAAAGAGGTTGGCCACTACAGTCGCACGCCACAGCAGTTGCATTGAAAAATATATTTTCATATGCATATCATGAGCCACGTAATGACGTCAGAAAGAGTCATTCAACACAACATGATCATTATTTTCTACCTTCAATTCCGAGAAGCGGAGTAAAACGGTTTGTGACTTAATTCTACTTTTACCCATTGTGTTATTTTAGTATTGTTAAGAGCAGCCATTTGTATTTATTCATTACAAAAGGTCTCTGTCAAACTACAAGAACTATAGAAAACCCTCATTATAAGATGTGAGTTGAAACGAGGAAAATGTTTCATATTGCCGCTCCGTAAAATCCAACGGTGATCAAATCCTCCTATTTTTCCAAGTGATGATGTCATTTTCAGTTGATGTGAGTCCCTGACTAGCCTAGTTCAGTTGTCCAAGAGAAGCCCTAGTTCTGTTTTGGTGAGGTCGCCGTTGGGCCGAACTCTCCTTGTTCCTCGGGGCTCAGCAACAAGTTCCTTGAATCTGGATACTGGCTGTTGTCAAAAGGCATGTGGTGGACACTCTGGACATGTGTCTTCAGGTTCCCTTTCTGAGAGGCTCTGTATGGGCAGAGCTGGCAGCAGAAAGGCTTCTCTCCTGAATAACAATCCAAAACACACACAAAAACAGGACATTTCAAAGGTCGCGTGGTGGCAACAGGGTGTTTGGTAACATGAAACATCCATGTAAACCACAGATGAAAGAGCGGAAATGGATTGCAGTGGAAACAGACATGCATAAGCCACATTTAAAGGGAAGCAGAATACAAAATATGGACTCAAATATTGGGATACCTGGCTATTACACCTACAGTGACTGAAAATGGAATAAAACACGCAATTAGTACCCCTCAATTCAAACTGGCATTCAGACGTATGGACAATGTCGAGCTCTCAATTGATGCATGTTTTACCAGAGTAATTACAAAACAAAAAAAAAAAAAAAACCCTCTCACAAGCCCAAGGAAAACTTACAAACCAGGAACGCCGCAGCTGAGACCTAAACCCCCAATCCTCAAAACTCTGAGACACACATGCTAACAACACGCTGCCCGTCTGCTTAAACCCCTGACAAATTAATCAGCCCATGACAAGGTGTCACAATACTTTTGTCCATTTCGTGTTGGCTTTATTTCAAAGCAAAACGCCAGACAAACTCCTTCTGGAAAAGTAAGCCACACAATCTTGTCTAAACAGTCATTTTTTATCCATGTACTTCATTCCATCAACCCCGCTGCCCGATGACCAACACACGCACACATGCCCATCCTGTCTTCTAATTGGACTGACCTACAATGGGACAGATATCAGACCTCAGCAAAAAATACAAAGAATAATAACAAATAAGCAAGTCACACCTGAACAAAACAAATGAGATTGCCATTTAATTGCACCTAATTATCATTTTGATAAATGTATGACTATCACAGCGGGAAAATAAATGACTCCCTGCGCCCCCCGCCCACCCCACAGTATTTTTCCTGAAGAAGACACAGGAAAATAAAGCAGTTATCATACATCATCAGAAGCACAACAGATAGAGAGAAAGAGGGGTGTTTGAGGAAGGGAGCGATAACAACAAATAGGTATAATTAATCATAAAGGAAAATAATAAAACAGCTGGAAAAAGAAGGTGAGGGTTAGACGTGAGAGGAAAGCAAAAACCCGGGCGACGTCGTCCTGTGAGGAAACACGGCTGACGGGACCGCTACACTACATTATACTAAAGGTTATCGTCACCGTAAAGCAGCGTCAACACTGCATCTAATTGGACCCCTCCGCCAGACGCCTGCTCCCATCAGTCATATACTGTGCGGTAAATCTCAGTCATGTGGGGCAGGCGTGTGTGTGTGTGTGTGTGTGTGTGTGTGTGGGTGTGTGTGTGTGTGTGTGTGTGTGTGTGTGTGTGAGAGATGTGTGTGATTAATAAAATTGAGGGTATAGCATAGACAAGCGAATGTCAAAGCTGAACAGATTTACTTCTGTTTCCCGCTCAGCCTCAATTCTTGTCGGTGTAACGGACTCTGAAAACGAACAGAAGGAAGATGGAATTTAAGTCGACTGTACTTTGCTTACTGTCTCCAAGTTTGACTGCGGTGCACAATAAATAGGTACCGGTAATTATTTAATGCCAACTTCACATACACGTATCATTTAAGTCCTGAATGCTAAACTTGTTGAGCTGCCTGCTTGAGTATATGAGTTAAAATTAAATATTGTTGTTTGAATACAACTTGCTGTTACCTCTATACCAAGTTAGCTTCACTTTAGTCACTATTTGCATGTTTTTAAGAAAGTGTCACAATAGTTGTGTGAAGCTTTTGTCCCTCTCAATTAATAAATAAGACAATAGAGAACTTGCACTGGTTTACCACACTGAATGTAGATATAATGTCCCCAAGACTACCACAATTACTTGTGATTTTGGCTCAGAAGAATAATCAATAGTTTGCTAAATTACATTTAAGCCTAACATTACTTAGATATATCCTTGTTACAGTTTGAGGTGAATGGAAACTTATACGTTCTCAATTTATACGGTAGTTGATTAGAGTGGTCTGGATCTGGGATATCAAACATACGGCCAGAATCGGCCTGTCAGGGGTTCTGATCAAACCCATGGGGATTGTTCTGCCTGACAGGGAAGTTTTGGTCCATTTTTACTTACAGACTTTTATGTTGATGCAAGCACCTTAGAACCATAAATGTTAGGTCTCATGTGATACATGTACGTAACTGATAAAGAAAACAGTTGATTTACAATCCACGTACGCAGTAATAAACAGCTGTATGTACCTATTGTTTGTCAAGTAATTTCACGTACAAATGTGCAGTAAAAAAGAGTCAGTGAAGTGGCTTGTAACAGGTTTACTGAAACTTTAAGTTTATGTACTAGCTATTGCTAATAGTTGGAGACCAGATGCTAATTGTTGATGGAGATTAACAATTACCTCATAAACTGTAAATTCATTGTTTGTTGTTTTTGCTGGAATATGCCATGTACGCACGTCCACTTTTCAGTTTGTCATTTTTAATTGAAATTCCTTCCTATTACGTTCATGTTGTTATTCTCATGCACGTCTTCTTGCTAGCAGGCAGTTATATGTTTCAGTCAAACCGGAACTAGGACTACTTGAAATTTCTGTGGCATAGGATTCATGAAAATGTAGTCCTACTAGCCGAATAATGAGTGTTTCTGACTGTGTGTGCCCGATAATACAATATGAGATAATAGCGTAAACGCAAAGTCAAAATCTTTCCTATTTACTTCCTGAAACTGTTGCTAGCTAGTTACTTTTGCGTAAGTAGCACAGCGCTTCCCTCAGCATCTGACATGCCCGTCAGGTGACGTGAACCAAGCGAAGGTCTGGGTGGTTCTTGTTCTTCTACTTTCTTTTGACGGTTGTCGAGCCATTTGTTTCTCAGTTTTGTTATTCAACACGTTTTGATGAGGCGCAAAATGCAAATTTTACTTCGCAAACTTTGATGCCAAACCCTTTATTTTGAGCCTTGGGTTATGAGAAGGACTTATTAAGGCTTTTTGCCACTTTCTCATGTTTCTTCTAGTTTAATCCAGTACATATCATTCTAAAAAATTGGTCAGTTTATAAATAATTTCGGGCCTTACTATACTGTATATGCAAGGCAAAACAATTGCTGCATTTGACAAAAGTCGTTTAAATGTCCAAATCTGATTCCTCATGACAACAATCATTTGTACGGATGCCAGGTGCACAGTGTATGACATTAAATAAGAAAATGGACACACAAAGCAGGACTGGGCTGGAAATTGACAACATTACACAGCATGCAGACTGGTGCAACAAAAAGACAACACGTGCAAAAGCGATGGTGGAGCCGAGTGATTAGCCATTGTGCCACATACTTGTTTGGGAGCTTCAGAAGCGGTGCTGTGAGCGTCAGTACCTCTGTGGAGTCCATTAAAATCAAACCCAACTGTGGGGTGAGAAGGAGGACGAGGGTGGGGGAGGAGAAGGAGGAGGAGGAAGAGGAGGAGGAGGAAGGGGGGCATCCGGTTAAAAGCTCCATCAAGACCCACACAAGCATTTGGTTTTCTCCTTGTTCCACCAGCCGCACTACGAAGTGCGGCGTTCGCCACCAGTGCCCATGCTAATGGAGGTGAGCTAGCAGTAATGATGATGGCGGCGGTGAAGGTGATGATGATGGCGATGGAACTTGGTTGAGCCAAGTCAGTGATTTAATATGACGCATGTTAATAGAGGCCTCGGGGCGGATGGCCTTTTCTATGTGCGTACGTCCATGCTGAGGACAATTGTCGGTGACAACATTAATTACAGTCTTGGCTCGAGTTTACAGAGCCTGTGTATGGGCGTGAGTGTGTTAATTTGCTCAGTGTGTGTGTGTGTGTGTGTGTGTGTGTGTGTGTGTGTGTGTGTGTGTGTGTTTACAATAGGGCTTAGGGGAAACTCAGCTTTGCATCACTTACCATTTGGCCTCTGTCACTTAGAATCACTGGCGATGCCACATATCATTCACACTCTCCACAAAGACGCTACTTATCTCCCTGTCTGTTGTGATCACCGCGCACTCACATGATGGACGTGACACGACAGGAGAGGAAATAGAGGCGCCTGAGACAAGTGAGGTCGGAGGCAGAGGGAGGAAATAATGCAAGCGTGGGAATCCAGAGGGGGGGAAAGAAAACATACAAGTCAGGAGGGAGAGGAATTTTACAGAGAGTCGGGACAGGGTGGATGAAATTGAGAGACAAGCAAAAAGATGAGATGAAGAGGTGGCCAGGGGAATCAAACAGGAAGTGGGAAGAAAAGAAGGGTAACAAATGGCAAAATGCATAAAATGGGGAAAATATCAAGCAATATCCACACAAACGTGAAAAGAAAAGAAACTAACGCAACAGAAAGAAAGTCCAAATAACATGGGAATCAATTTGTATCACAAGAAAAAAAGCTGTGATTGGAACACTCTCCCCAACCGGCTGAGGGCCTCGGACACTACTGACGCTTTTAAATTAGATCCTCAGACTTTTCTTTTTACAAAAAGGCTTCTGCTAGGCCCACCCTTTCTCTCTCTCTTTTTTTTTTTTTTTTAACAGAATTTACTCTGTAGCACTTTGAGATTGCTGAAATATCAAGTGCATTGCAAAGAGCATTTATTTTGTGAAGACTGAGTTTTTGCTATTATTATTAATTTTACAATAATCAAGTAGTAAGATGACAAATATAAATGTAGGAGTGTTTCGTTGAGGACTGTTGAGGACCTTGTTGAATTATTTTCAGTAACAATGAAATACACTGTTCCGCCCCATCAGCACCATCATCAGTTTAATGTGATGCCTGAAGAAAGAAAAATCACCTCTTTAGTTAGGTTTGTTCACACATCTAACCAGAATACATCCTCCCATTTATATTTCCTAATATGGGCTGCAGGTGTGCTGGAGCCTGTCCCAGCTGACTTTAGGCGAGAAGCCAGGTGCATCCTTGGACAGGTCACCATCATCAGTCCATAGCGAGCAGAAAAAAAACAAACATTTGCACTCATATTCACATTCATGGCAATTTGGGGTCTTTGGTGATACTACGAAAACATGAATGTTTTTGGAATGCGGGTGGAAGCCAAAGTACCCAGAGAAAACCTTTGCAAGTGTGGGGAGAATGAATATTATTAATTTACATCTAGGCGGCCCGGTAGTCGAGTGGTTAGCACGTTGACTTCACAGTGCAGAGGTACAGGGTTCGATTCCAGCTCCGGCCTTCCTGTGTGGAGTTTGCATGGTCTCCCCGTGCTTGTGTGGGTTTTCTCCGGGTTCTCTGGTTTCCTCCGACATTCCAAAAAAAACATCCAGCGTAGGTTTTCTCCGGGCACTCCAGTTTAAAACATGCATGGCAGGTTAATGGAACATTCTAAATTGTCCCTCGGTGTGAGTGTGAGCGCGAATGGTTGTTCGTTTCTATGTGCCCTGCGATTGGCTGGCAACCGGTTCAGGGTGTCCCCCGCCTACTGCCCAAAGACAGCTGGGATAGGCTCCAGCACCCCCCTAGTCAGGATAAAGCGGTTCGGAAAATGAATGAATAAATGAATTTACATCTATCATGGTGTTAACAAATGGACATAAGCATTTTAATTCATCGAGAAAGAGCCATGACTTTCATTAATATTATACTTATTATATTTGAACTTTCATGTAAAATTAAGACTTCAGTCTCAAAACCTTTTTTTTTCTAATTGTTCTAATAGCAGTGCTTTTTAAACACAGGTGTTATGTTGATGTTGTTTTTCAATGCATTGTGGCTTTTTGTCTGCACACAAACTATGTTTTTGGGCACTAGGATAGAGGTATAGGCCTTGATGAAAACTACACAAAACGTTTGGGCAGTGTGTGTCGACTGCATTCATTGTATCTTGGCGTTAAATGTAAGCATAACTCCACCCATAAATCCTTGGTTCGGAATTTTTTGTCAGGGCTCTGATTGCCAAAAAATAAAAATAAAAAAGCAATAAACACCTGTTGCTTTGGCACAAGCTTGACAGCCTGCAAGGGCTTCTCATGAGATTTTGTTCTTGAGAATTTGGACAGAACTTTTTTTAAACTCCTGAGTGAGAAATCATAACATTAAAAAAAAAAAAAAAAAAACATGTACATGTGCTTATAGCTTTCGTCAATTTGCTTAATAAATGGCACAGGAGCACATGCAAATGTACTCAAGAGACTGGTGTGAATAAATGATGGTCTGCTTCATTGGAATGCACAATTGCACTTCTCTAATTGACATGTGATTAATAATGTAAACAATTTGTCACAGGTCAGTATTCAGAGAAAACATGTTTCAGTTTAAAAAATAGCGACAGCTGCCCAGCCCAGGGCAAGGAAGGACTCGCAGACTGGCTGTCACACTCAGCTGAACAAAAAGATCGGGTTTGATTTATCTGAGTACATGCAGGAATGTCCGACAATGAAATATTGTTGAGAGTGTGAATCCTTCCATGCATATATTCTCTATAACTCATGTTAGTGTCACTGAGTAGATAAATAGCTGAGAAGGTGAAGATGTGTGAGCACAGGTGTCATGCGAATGACTGAAAATATGCTATAAAATGAATAATTAGAGGGCAGGGGAGAGGGAGGCGGGGGGCTAGGTTACAAACTAAAGATGGGTATTGGCCTTATATGTTTACTCAACTTCCTTTGCTGTTCCTCTTGCTTCATGTGCTACTGCTTTGGTTTGATCAACAACTATACGATCAGCCTCAACATGCGACTCTCATGATGTTCAGATGCGGTGTACTATAGTACTACAGTATATACACTGAAAATCCATAGTGTATCTCATCGAATCTGCCGCCACTGTCATCGAACGAAATAAGGGAAAGAGAATATAAGGAAATGCTCCATCACAGCTCGAGAAAGTGGAGTTTGACAGCAGTTCAAACTATTGTTTACCAATGGCTGTTAAATATGTTTCAACCACAACTGAGCAGCTGAGTTATCTCTGTAAAGGAAAACGTCCTGCGGTATTTTACAGTGGACTGCATGATATAATGCAGGTGGCAATTGAGCCTTTGACTGGAGGATGTACAATGCTAATATGATGTGGGAATCTTTGTCTGTGAGTGAGGTGTGCAAAGTGTTAATTTACCTGTATGGGACCTCATATGAGTACGAAGGTGGCTGGGCTGACTGAAACTCTTCCCACACTCGTGGCAGAAATGCTGTCCTTGTCTCATGAGAGACCTCAGCATCCCTGATGACAGACATGTAAACATAATGTAGTACACAGTCTAGTTTAGTTTTGGTATATGAAGTATTTGGCGCGTGCAAGATAAAAACAAAAGGTTTACTAAAGTGTTGTTGTCATACTTTCAAATGAATGTTTAACATTCGTCCATCAGTAGGGACGTACAGCAAAATTAAAAAAAAAGAATTACAATAAAATAATTCAGTTAGTTTTCATAGTTTTAAAAGAATTTTTGTTTTCATCTGATATTGTTGACGAAAATGTTATTTCAATTTGACTTCTTTTGTTAATTTTCGTTTACCATAATAACCTTGGTTCATTCTAAAATGGAGTTGTGTTTGAGGCTAAATAAAGTTGTGGAGGTCAGTAGTGTGCACACACTGAACATGCACAGTCGCACGGAAGCAGGGCCACAGCGGTGGAGGTAGGCGGCATGAGTAGTGGACAAGTGCAGGCATCATTAGTATGTCTAATGTGTCATTATGAGCGGCTTGCTCCAGGGGCTGGACTGCTGCTGTCACACAGCATCATCTCACAGGCTGACAGCCAGACACACACACCGCATAAATTACAGGCAATTAAAACGCCCCGGCTGTGATGTGCCCGCTCCGCTGCCCGTGTGTCACATGTCAGGTGTGTGTGCCCGCATGTGAAAGAGTTGCGTGTGTTTGGTCAGGACAGTAGAGGCCTTGGCCAGGGCACACGCTAATCACCTTTACGCACTCCGGAGAAATAGAGGAAAAATAACTCTAACTTGTTGAATATCAATTGCTTCCAAAGCCGTCCATTCTGTAACATGACAGGGCTTGGTTCCAGACAGAGTTGATATATTTTCCGACATGACTTACTTTGTACTGCCACCATTACTATTCAGCGCAAAATGCAAAATGCAAATTTTACAATCCACCACTTGTCGACAACAGGATGCTGACCATAAGTGTTGAATCCGAATCATTTTATGTTGCTTTTGTTATTACTGTGCATGACAATATTATTAATGCATCAGAAGCCACAGGGACACGGCAGGGTTCAATAACTGCTTTTCAACACTGTATCCAAGATACACACTCGTTGGATCATGGTTTTGAAACTAAGTCTACCTCTGCTTGTTGCAAGCATGATGTGCCGCTACAGTCACACAAAGCCTCACCAGAGAGCTACTGTGACGCTGTGTCTATTTGTTATGTGTATTTCTGTCTGTTTACATGTGGAAAGCGGGTGGAAGCAGGACAAGAAAGATCAAGGCGGGGGAGAGAGGTGACAGAGAGCATCTCTGGCACCGCGACTGCTGGCTGGCCTCTGGTTACTTTACTTCTACTCTGAGCTGCCAGCCCTTCTCATTGATGCACTAATGAAAGACAAGACAGAGCTGGATGGAAAACACAGGCATCTGAACATACGCGCGCACGCACATACACACACACACACACACACACACACACACACACACACACATATGCACAAACATACGGACACACATTGCAGAGGAAAAGGGAGAAAGACTCAGTTGCTCAAAAAAGGTCACTTTATAGCATGTGACTCAAAGGGCTAAGGCGGATGGTGACGATATGCGCCTGGACGGGTGACAGTGATGTCATGCGTCTGCTCTGGGGCTGTTGTCTTTGACCCCTAGCTCCACACAGCCCCACTTGACCTTAGAGACACAACTGAAAATGGGAAAATAATGTTGATGTTCGGTAATGACCATTTCCAAAGCAGCTGGTGGGGTAATTATTCTGTCTCATCTCTCTCCTCTCTGTCTCTCTCTTTGCCTCTTATGTTTCCTCGTGCCCCGTTTTGCTTCCCCCATTTGCATCTGTGTGAGTCTCTCATCAGGCACAGCCGTGACCTAAACAGTTTGTGACAGCTTTCTGGGAGAGTGGAGCTGGACACGAGGCATGCCTCACAGACCTGAGCAGCACACCAGAGGTACTATCACATCTTTCGCAGACAAATACAAAATGAATAAAAAGCAAAACAACAAATCACAGATACAGACACAAAAAAAGCAACACACACGCTGCCCCAGATACAGCCTTTTATCATACCTCGCCAAGATGCACACAAGTCAATTTGGTCATTTTAAGACCTCATTTCGCAACATTTTGTCAAGAAAATCAGTTCATGCTCCACGTGGAATGACTCTTTCATTGTGGTCACTGTTCAAATACTCTCCGGTAGCTCCATATGAATATGTACATCTTAGTATTAAGCATTGCTATGCCATAACAACAAGAATAAACATATTCATGTCATTAAAAACTGTGCATTATTTATTATTTATGGAATCATTTTATGTTTGTTTTACTTCATACGGCATTCCTAATAGAGTGGCCAGTGAGTGTATATTTTGATAGAGACGGTGAAAAAAACGAGCATTTGCAAGAGTTCACGTTCCTCAATAGAACCACTGTCGAGTCTAAATCAATTTCAAACATGCGACCAGTCATGGAAAAAGATTCTTATATGGTACTTAAATTTGATGTGCATCTTTTAGGCACATAATGTATAAAATGTGTCTTCTTTACCAAACAGCTATGTGAGCCTTAATGATCCGAATAAAATAGAAAACAAATATAGTTCCTTACCGGTGGGATCCAAAAGAGAATTGGTGGCACCCCAGCGGTGGTACAGCGCAGCCAGTTCATGCGGGCTAGAGTTTTTCAGGAAGCTGAGGATGTTGTTTGGCATATCTGGGATCTCTGATGTTGGCTCCTGCTTCACATTCCCACGAGCCTCTGAGGGCAGGGAGGATGATGAAGTCTGAAGAATGCCTCCGTATGGCTGCGTCGCTCCAGAGTGGCCTGCTGTGGAGCTGTGGATGCTGCTACTAGGCCTCGTGGCATTAGTCTGTCGCTGGCCATGGGAGTTGGTGAGTGGTTGATGAGAGAAACCTCTAGCTCGGTTGTACTCTGTTTGGGTACTGTACTTGCTCGAAAGCATGAAGCCGAGTCCCTCCTGAGGCATCATGTAACATTCTGCCCTTTTGGTAGCTGTAGCAGAGTTGAGGCTTGGCACTGGGGAACGAGAAAGGGTGCCGGTACTCTTCTCCTTAGAGCTGGAGGATGACAGCGATCTCCTCTGAGAGGAAAGATCAACTTTGGGTCTAAAGCGCGGAGGCTGACTCTGAGGGACTTTTGCAGCATGAGATCCTAAAGTGGATGTGGAGGGTCTCAGCAATAAAGATGAAGAGTGAGGGCATGATGACGATGCTGTATCTGCACGACAACCCATTTTGTTCTTTTTTAGTACTTCATTGGTCTTGTTTGGAGGCCGTGTGCGTTGGGCATGCACAACTACTGGCAGTGGTGGGCATTCCTTACCCTCCAAGACTGGTGGGGGGCCAGTACGTCTCCTGGAGGACAAGTCTCTTGGCCCCTTGTTGTTGTTTTTAAGCGCCCATTTAGGAACCAGATTGGAGCTACCACTGGTCATGCGATGAGCCACAGTCTGGTGCATCCACAGAACCTCAGGATAGAGGGTACAATGGGAGCAGAAGGAGCATTTGTGGTTAGGGAGGATTTTCCTGTCTATGGTTAGCGGGGCTTGGCCCCTGTGACCCTCAGCCCTCATACATAAATCCACAGGGCTCAAAACAGGCTCAGGGGGAGAAGAGCAAGTGGAAGGATGAGCAGGAGGGGATGGAATATTTTCCAGATCTAGCAGGAGGGCTTTCTTCAGTTTGGGATATCCATTGGGGGTGACTGTAGGAATGGGGCCAGTTCTGTCTTCGGCGGCAGCCGAATGCTGGACATGGACATGAGCCAGGTAGGTATGTGACTCAGTGGTAACAAAGTCACAAAAGCTGCAGATATAAGGCCTCTCATCTGCAATAGAACAAAGACAAAGTAAATAAACTTGCATTTGACTTTATTTTTCCCTGGGTTTTAACAAAACTTAAAATTGGCGAATATTTCACTAATTACTCATTACTACAATATACCAGCATTTATACGCACAAAAACTACTCAAATCCTATAAATATTAACTGTAGTATAATAATGAAACTAATACCGTACTGTAAATTCAAACCGTTGTCGCCATCGAATGAATTAAATACAGTCATTTAGTTTTGTGTGCAGTTTTAAACATTGTCCACTTGATGGCGGGAAAGCCCTATCTTAGTGAAAACAACAATTGGGTATGGCGGTTGACAGTAACCCTCAGTACAGTCATTTTATCTCGCACGTCCCATGCACAATAATGAAAAGCGAAACAGTCACACACGCACACATGCACACAAAACTCTGGGGATAAGGCATTGTACTGTCTCTCAACTACACACAGACATACAGAGAAACATGACACAACCTTAGTACTCAATACCAATTTTCCTCTACCCTTTCTTTTGTACAACAGTAACTTGCCATCTATTTTCATTTGATTTAGTTTCATTTGACACGCCGCCAAGATAAAACCCGACTTTGAATTGTAAATTTTGCAGTTTGTTGATTACACAGATACGATTTGTTTGTCAGGCCACTTCTCATCTTTGTCCCCATAGACTTTTACGTCACTAAATTGCCTTGGAAATCCCAACTAGAAAAATATGAACCCATAAACTAAGCAAATGTGGATAAATATAAAATGACAATTAAGACAAAGCATTCTATACTGACTTGATTTGCCATCACTGCCAGAAATATTTTTCAAATCGCATTGTCATAGAGGATAAATAAGGTTAACTAAATAATGTAAACACCTCCCACGATGTCACGTATTTCTACACCACTGCACACTACACGCGTGTGTTAATGTTAAACACAAATGGCGTTTTTCTTTGTTTTTATTCTTGGGTACGCATTTGATGATTCCAACACACATTTTTTTTTTTTACACAGTTATCTTTGCAACCTTACAGCAGAATAGCAATTTCATCTTCATCATCTCAGAGTGAACAATCTGAATAGGGACACCAAAACCACAGCTAAAGACGTGTTTAAAATGTGATGTTAAAACAAACAAAATCAGAGGTCCTGATAGTAACACAATGTTTAGAGACAGGTAAAAGAGATCAAACCAACCTCATAAAAATTCTACTCACACAGGGGGTATGGGTTGGGGGAGTGGGGGGTTTCCTGAGACAGGAAGATCTGAAATAGCTCACAGCTCAATCATGCCTAAAGAAATGTTTCAGCTATTTTTGATCAGCACTCTGAGCAGGGAGGATTAGGAACAGGCACCGCTAATGCCAACACCTCTTTACAGTTTTGTGCCTTTACAGCAAACGCATCCAGCTCTTAACACTCGTGATGTTTTGAAAAGTTTAGTGAGATGGACGCTCATATGCCGAATATAGAAAATGCTGTCACATTTCAACATCAGGGTTGCGGGTGCCTACCCTAGTAAAGACAGATTAACCACTCTTGGTTTTACAGTACAGTTTATATGCTTTGTTGGTTAATGACGTGATAAAAACGATGTGACAAAAATGACCTTTCCCTCACTGCCATATCAATAAAAGTCAAAGAGTTTCAATAAAGGTGCTTTATTTCATTGCTCTATGTACTGTTTAACTGTAAAATCATTTCCAGGAACAGTGATTTTTTGGTTTGTTGGTTTTTTATGCATTATGTAGAACAAACACATCTAACAGAGGGCCTTGGAAGATTTGATATTCTGCCACGTGATGGCATTTGTTCCTACTCCAGAGTAACTGGAGATCTTAGGGGAGGATTACATCGAAGCCCATTTCATGACAGACGTTTTTACCCATTGGTGACGAGACTGTCGTGAAATGGGCAACAGAAAATGAAGTCAGCATCTCAAGAAAAGAAAAGTGGCTGTTAGCACGGTCATAAATGTAGGTAAAATGTATTATAATCCAGACACTGTAGATGATTATAGCTTCCAAATAATGGGCATAATTCGCACAAAGTCCCTTTTCTGCTATGAGTTTGGAATGGAAGAATTCACTCGACTCAAGCCTCAGGTACAAGCAAAGAGAGATTGTGGCCATGCCCCTTGTCAATCATCACAGTTTTACTGGATGAATGGACAACAACTGCAGCTGGTTTCTTCCATTCACTTTCTTGTTAAGTGTACTACTCCTTGTGCCAATATAATGTGTGTTTATTAGTGAACAATCGTCACTACACTGTCAGTAAAATAGAACCCCTTGGTAGATTATGTTTTTTTTCTTTTTTTTCACTTAAGGTAACCCATCCAACCATCTATCAGGGCCTATTAGTGGGTATCTTCAAGATTTGCAAAGCCAGAAAGATAGACACTGTTAAAAGTGTCGTGTCAAGAGTTCAGTTAAAACACACACACACACACACACACACACACACACACACACACACACACACACACACACACACACACGAAACAAGCTGAGGCTAAAAAGCTACGATAAGCAGAAAGATATTTTTTTTCTTCCATTTTGTGAAAGTAGCAATTGCATTTTTTAAAATTCTTTTTTGTTTTTGTTTTTTTGATGAGTCGGGACTAACCTGCAAACTTTCCTGAGTTAGCCGTGCCCATCTCAGATGCCTGGTCTCTGAATGTGGAGGCTGGTGGTGAATCTCCATACCCTGGGGTAAAGGGTCGGTTTGGGGAGCCTGATTCTGGATCACTGGTGGAGCTCCACTGGTCTTTACTTCCATTTTTTTCCTTGTCGCCCATTGGTGTCCTGCCCGCATCCTTTCTGTGGACTCGCTGGTGAACAATCACCTGGTGACGACTGCGGAACACCTTCCCACATTCAAAGCACTTAATGGATTTAGCGGGACCTTGAGACTGGGATGGCCGCCTCCGTTCCTGTCGTGATGATGGTCGATATTCGGAATCACTGAGGTTCTCTGGCGTCTGGTCTCCAGATGAAGCTTGGTTTCCCAAACCAGAGGTGCTCCGGCGACCTGTGCTGCGTTTTTCTTGAATTTGAAGGGCGTAACTGTTGTTCTCTTTCTCATCAACTACAGCGGCAGTAGCATTGTCTTCCTCTCCAATACTTCCTCCATCACTGGAAACCTTGTTGTTCTCTATTGGTTCTACAACTTTTCCTTTGGTAGCTAAATGCCATGCTTGGTAGCTGCAAACTGGATCAAGCTCTGGGATTCTCTGACCCAGGATCTTAGCACTTCCTTTTTCCTCATCGGCTTTTGCTGCAGCAGGCTGAAGGCCTAAATAGTCAAGTAAACGTCTTTTTGTGGCTGGTAAATCATCATCATCATCATCATCATCAGTGTGTCGTGACTGGTTCTGAGGTTTCTTTCCAAAACTGAGACTGTGGAGTTTATCATGAGCCCTCAGGCTCTCTTTGCTATGAAACAGGTTCCCACATTTAGAGCACATTTGGTAGACGGACGCAACAGAGCCAACAATTTCAGGGCCCTGTGCTACATCATTAATCGTGGCAGGATGCTCAACAGAATCAGATTTTGCACGAGACCGCGATCTGGTGTTATGTGTTTTCATGTGTGATTTCAGAAACCAAGCTTCGCGGAAACGTCTTCCACATATTTGACAGCAATGGTCCAAGATCCCAGCATGTTTCTTCATGTGTGACTTCAAGAACCAGGCTTGGGTGAACACCTGACCGCAGGTTTCACAGGGAAAGGTCTCATCACACTGTGATTCAGCCGCTTCGGCCACAGCTTCTTCCTTAAGACACATCTGCTCGCCCGTGTCGACAGTGATGTGGACCTTCTCAATGTGACTGAGGAGCTGGTCCTCCCGCTGGGCCTCATAGCCACAAAGTCGGCAGCAGTAAGGCAGCTGATCACTTACAGGTTTCTCTCGTTTCAGGCTCCTCACAGCCACTTTCCTGCGACTTTCTTCGGCACCGTCGCGATTGATCATCTGATTACAAGCTGAACTGCTCTTGGTTGGACTTGTGCCTCCGTCCAGACCCTCTGAAACACTCATCTCCTCTTCCTCTGCGCCCCCCACTTCATCCTCATTGGAGTGGTGGCTAGAAAGCGTGCCCAGTTTGTGGCTGCGTATATGAACTTTGAGGTTGCCCTTCTGAGAGGCCCTGTGGTCACAGTAGGGGCATTTATAAGGGCGTGCACCAGTATGGCGTCTCATATGCTGTGACAAAGAGCTCAAGAAAGGGAAGCTGCGGCCGCAAACACTGCAGTCATAAGACCCTGGTATTTTGTCATCCTCACCCTCAATATCATGTTTGGAATTGACCTTGGTGGCAGTCAACTTTTCCCTCTGATTCCTCACCTGAGTGTCCATCACCCCCACACTGGGATTCATCATGGGATTTGATGTAGCCTGTTTGTTTGGCCTCTTTCAGGAAAAAAAAAAAAAAAAAGATAAATTTGACGCTATCTGCTGTTGCACATCTAGAGATGTCAGGTGGGCCTTTGTTACTTAATTAAAATGTTATCTGCCTGCAGTCATCCACAGACGAAGCTGTTATCACAGCAATTCATTTAACACTGTCCGGTTCCAGGAAACAATGACATCTTGCCACCTTCATCGATGACTGTCAGTAATTTTGGTCAGTCTGAGTTAATCTGCGCAAGCAGTTCCACAACATAAGGAAAACATGTGCGTGCCTTAAAATGTCAACTTGATCAAAAAGATATCTTCCAATGTTGTATCTGCTGTTCAAATGTATCTGAATAAAGATGGACTTTTCAGGGTTCTTAATTCTTCATCTCTCCATGAACCGTTTCAAACAGTCTTGATATGATTATTATATCACACTTCCTTTCTTCAGTCATTTCACTGGCATCTGTCCTCCATCTTCATAATTCGCACAGATCGGCAAACATCTTCATCATCGACCTGAGAATGAAAAAGAAAGTGGTGCATGGGGAGGAGATTGGAAAGAGACAAAGAGAAAATGTTAATAAAACAACATTTTTTCCAGACATATTCACAAAGTATTAGTGTACATCTGATCATTTTCTATAACACTTGTCATTGCAGAGACACAGGTCACTGTTCTTTGTTATCCTATCTAAGCTGATTTGGGGCTAGAGGTGGACACACCCTAGAGCAGTGGTGTCAAGCATACGGCCCGCGGGCCGGAACTGGCCCCAAAGGAGGTTTGATCCGGCCCGCGGGATCATTTAAAAGTGAAAAAAAAAATGCATTAAAGACAGAATGAATATTTTAAATAACATGTAATTCGTGGATTATCCGCTAGGGGGCACACTGTTTTGATCACAGTAGAAGACAACATTGTTTTGATCGGGGAAGAAAACAGTAGTCTCAGTCTGTCACAGAGATAGACCCAACGCAGCAAATGATATGAAAGCGCCAATCAGTGCTTCTTGAGACCAAAACAAAGGAAAGAGATGATATTTTGGTGATTCATAGCACAGTATGGTATAATGTTAATGGTTCGTCCCACTTGACATCTACCGAGTCCGTATGTGGCCCACAATGTAAAATGAGTTTGACACCCCTGCCCTAGAGTGTTTACTTGTCGTGAGTCAATTAAGTAAACTAACTAGCCAGTCATAAACTAAATAAGAGCCAATGGCTGTGACAGTCACAATTAATAAGAAACTCAGAGGAAATTTGTTCCAAGATTGTTTCTAATAAGTCAGTGAGAATAAAATGAAAAATTCATCCAACACTTCATTAGCATTGTACAACATGAGCTCAAAATCAATCATTTTGCTACTGCTTATCCCTTTCAACATACCCCAGCTGACTTTGGGCAAGAGGCAGAAAGACACCCTAGAGTGGTTGCCAGTCAATTTCAGGGCACATCCTATACTGACAAAGAACCAATTCATACCCATACCTCACCACCTATTAGAACACCCCTGCCCAATATGTTGATCGCGATCGACCGGTTGCCCGCGGACTGGTCCCAGGTCGATCGTAAGAGGTGTAGGGGGAAATTGAAAAAAAAAAAAAAAGATGTGTGTGTCTGCATGCATGTTATTAATATTGTTTGTTATATTGCATACCAATAAAAGGATACTGTACATTATTTCTCTTTCTCTCTCTCTCTCTCTCTCTCTCTCTCTCTCTCTCTCTCTCTCTATTTTTTTCTTGTGCACACTGCACCCTAATCATCAGATTCACTTTCACAAAGTATTAAAAAAAAAAAAAAAAAAAAAATTGGTTTTATGTACAATTCACCAATGGCCCTGGCAAAGAATGGGAAGCGGCTGAAGAAGCATTTTAAAGTGGTACACGTACATACGATAGTTTCTGCACTTAACACACTGCAAAAGTGTGTCCCATGCCTCCACGTCAAGTTTCTACTAAGGAAGGCAGTGACTTCCTTTTCACAAACTCACAAACTATTGTATCTATTTTATTCTTCTGTTTCGTTCATGTCAGAGGCCATTATGGCTGTTGCTCATCATGGCATGCGTATAATCTTTGGTTAAAAAAGGTTGGGCACCCCTGTATTAGAGATTTCAATTTACCTAACATGAATGTTTTTGGAATGTGAGAGGAAGCAGGAATATGCAAACCCCACAAACCCAGGAGCTCTTGACCGTGAGGATGACCTGCTGACCACATCCACACATGCTTAATGCTCAATTTCTGATATAAGTCTCGTACCTGCTGTCAGTAATAGTACAGCTTTGTGACCACTGAGTGCAGTAAAAGTGTGGCGGTGTAAATGTAATTGTATTTATGCACAACATCCATTTGCATGATTGTGCAATGATTTGTGCAGTGTTTGGGGGCTCAGAAGCCACACCAGCTGAGTTGACACTTTACACAATCGTGGTGGGGGAGGGGCGGTGGGGGAAGGGGGAGTGTACTGTGTTCACATCAGCAAGATCAGCAGTGCCACCATATTCCCTCCCCATAATGGCCTCACAAAACCGCCTCCGCTCACATGACAAGGTTCTTAAATACACAAAAGGAAGTGGCTCTTCAGACAATTTGCCTTCAATTCTCAAACTGAAACTGAATGCTGTCGCAGTGAATGTAAAATGAAAGGAGAAAAAAGGAGGATTGTATGTTGATACCAGGGATGTGTCCAAGGACCGGCAACCCGAGGCCAAGGCCAAGGCCAAGGACTTGCCTCCGAGGCCAAGGCCAAGGCCAAGGACTTGGAAAATTTTCCGAGGCAAGGCCAAGGCCAAGGACTTGAAAAATTTTCCGAGGCCAAGGCCAAGGACCAAGGACTTGCTTCCG